AGGTGCAACGGATACTAGCCAAAGTTCATTGCATGTTCATAATGAGACGCATATGGTGGGAATGATTTGTGTTGAAAATGAATATGAGACCTCTTCTGAACTTCTTGGAGGGCCACTTGTCGCAAAGTCTTCAGCGCTATCAGTCTTAGTTCCAAAAGTTGATCTTATGAACGAGTTGGCAAAAGGGACCCAAAAGCTATTTGATGAGGTCAATGTGATTGAAATTGGTAATGGTATTGGTAAATTGATGTGGAACTCAGTGGCTAAGATGTCAAGCTTGGTAATTGGAAAAATGCTCATTTCTTGGCTAGCCAGGGGAGTCCTGGTGGTTTATTTTGTTGTCATTTCTGTTGTCCGGGTTATTTCAGGGTTGTAATCCGGATGTTGCCTTGTGACTCAAACCCTTCTATCCTTTTATTTTGCTTAGTTCATTTAGTCCTAGTAACTCATTTAGTGTTATCTAGGTTTGTTCCGAGGTTGTAACCCCAGTTTAGTTCGCTTGTTTCGTTGTTCAAACCCTTTCACTGTCTATCTAATGCAATTTTTTGTTTTTTGTTATTTCTAGTCATTTTTTGTTTAGTTCTCTTCTCCTTTTATATTTCTTTACATGATGGCTCTAGTGACATGAAATGCACGCATAATTCTAGGCTTGATCTTAAAAGTTAGTTTAATCACAAAGAAATGAAATAATTTTGAAGATGATAGGGACATTTGAGGGAATAAGCATAGATTTGGACATTTTGAGATCATTTAAAGCCTGAACTATGTGAAACTGGGGCAGATAATTTTGGAAGTTAATAAGATGACAAGAAGTCGTTAAAGGAGAGTGCATCCCAGATAATTTGAAGTGAGCAATTTTTATGTTCAAGTGCACCTCAATTTACAAGATAAAGTCAAGAGAGTTTGCTCCGAATTGACAGAGGATATCCATTGTGAAGAGGGAGTCACCCAAAGAGAGTTTTCTACTTAACAAGGCACTAAAAAGTGGAAGTCATATCAGTGATATCAATGCCAAAGCTGCAAAAGAAATATTGTGCATGATCTTCAATTTTCATCCTCAAGTTGCAGGTATTGTGCTTGGCCTTTTCAGAGATTGGGAGGCACTCTTTCAGCTACCCAAATACTTTGTACCATTCGGTACCCCTTTTGAGTCTGTGCTAATTTTCTTGACCTCCCCTATTTGGAATCAAGTCAGAGTCATAAAAAGAAAAGAAAAAAATTCATGTCTCCGTAGGTTTATTTTAGAAAGTTCGTCCTAAAAGAAAAGTCAAAAAGGAAAAAATAGAAAAAGAAGAAAAAGAAAAAGAAAAAAAGAAAAAAAGAAGAATAGCAACGAAAAGAAAGCATCCCTTTGAACTACATTCGACTTGATTCATATCACCACAAGATACGTAGGCAGCCTTAAGGTTCGGTCTCACCAAATAAAATATTTCATAATCCCACCAAGTAGAGAGTGGGGCAGTCTTTCTTAGAAATTTCATCTCAAAAAAAAAAGAAAAAAAGAAGAAGAATCAAATTCCCTTGTTTTAGACATTGGGGCAAAGTTTTTATAGTGGATTCCAAAAGTTGTAGATAAATTAACCGTGTTGTCTTAGTTATTTTGAGACTTTATGATATCCTTTATTTCTAACCCTTTCCAAAAGCCACATTATAGACCAAATGACCTCCCAGATAATCTTTGAGAGTGTCGAGTCAGACATGCCAAGAGCATATGATATTTTTATCGTGGTTAATGCCTTGTCATCTGCAGAATCAGAGGAAAAAAAAGAAAAGAAAAAAATGAGAGAGTCTTATTGGTGAAAACCTTCACAGGCACCATAAGGCGACGGTAAGTTGAGAGAAAGAACAAAATGAGAGAGGCTTGATGGTGAAAACCCATTCGGGAACTACAAGTTGAATAAGGACCGTGAATCAGATAGGATAATCAGAACATTGAAGCCCAGTTTCACGACTCAGAGGTACAACAAGAGTTAAACATTAGACTTGCTTGACAGATTAGGCCACTTAATCCAAAGGTGCATATCATGGTCATTAGAGTTGGTCTCTATATCTGATAAGTTTCTACTTTGTAGTTTTCTTGTTAGGAATCATCTCTTTCGATTGTCCTTTACTCTATTCCTTTTGTCTTATTTATTTCCTCTTCCTGAGTCTGTTTGGTCAGAACAAGTGAGAAATGACTTCACAATTTGCCACCAGCTTTCCAATTGCACAAAACGGAATCTGGCTAGCACATCAAAGTGGCATACGTCAGGAAAGAATAGTATGCGCACCTAGTTGGTAACAATCAACGTTCTTTGGGATTCATGTGAAATACAAAGGTTCGGTATATGTCAATTCATGAGCAATGCGATAGATAAAGGATGTTGAGTTTGAATGGATCAGAGATATTTTCTGTGATAAGGGTGACAGAGAAAGTGGTTAGTCAATAAACAAGCAAGGTCTTTGGAGTTGAAATCAAAGTTATCATGGGAAGTGAAGGATCAATCGCCCTCAAAGTCAAGGCCACAAACAAACTACCATATTTGAACTTACAAGTTTTCTTTGTTTGAAACAGGGACGAAGACTATGTCCAAATCAAAGCTTGGAAGCTTGAATTTTTCAAGTGTCGTGCCCACATTTTGTCAGCACAAAGGCTGTTTGAGGAGGTTTTACTTGCTAGGCATTCCCCTAGTTAAGAAGGTTTTTACCTCCTACATATTTTCCCTAGTCGAGAAGAACCGGTACCTCCTAGGCATTCTCCCTAGTCAGAAGAGTTTTAGCTTTCCTTAAGTTCAGGGCCTTCCCGGATAATGGGATTTAAGTTCAAGTTTTCAGGACCCTCCTGCATAATGAGATTTAATTTCAAGTTTTTAGGACCCTCTTGCATAATGGGATATAGTTTTAAGTTGTCAGGACCCTCCTGGATAATGGTATTTAGTTTTAAGTTTTAGGACCCTCATAGATAATGAGATTTAGTGCAAGTTTTACCTTTAGAAAATAGAATTTAGCTTTCAAATTTTCATTCTTAAGATGAGATTTCGTTTTAGTTTTCAAGGCCCTCCTGGATAATGGGATTTAACTTTTAAATTCTTAGAGCTCTTTTGGATAACATGATTCGATTAACACTCACAGATGTTCCCGGTACCAAACTGGGACATAAAGCTTCTTTTGTTTTGTCTATTTTGTTGTAATGGCAAGCGCCCACTTGGAAAACAAGGGAATACATCTCAAGTTTTGATATCAGGCACCCACCTAGAAAACAAGGGAATACATTTCAAGTTTTCGCATCAGGTGCCCATCTAGAAAACAAGAGAATACATTTCAAGTTTTGGCATCAGGCGCCCACCTGGAAAACAAAGGAAAACACTTCAAGTTTTGGCATCAGGCGCCCACCTGGAAAACAAGGGAATGCATTTCAAGTTTTGGCATCAGGCGCCCACCTGGAAAACAAGGGAATGCATTTCAAGTTTTGGCATTAGGCGCCCACCTGAAAAATAAGGGAATACATTTCAAGTTTTGGCATCTGGCGCCCACAGGAAAACAAGGGAATTTATTTCAAGTTTAAGTTGCAGACGCCCACCTGGAAAATAAGGGAATTCATCTCAAATTTAAGTTTCAGGCGCCCACCTGGAAAACAAGGGAATTTATTTCAAGTTAAGCTGCAGGCGCCCAGCTAGAAAATAGGGGAATTCATTTCAAGTTAAGCTGCATGCGCCCACCTAGAAATAAGGGAATTCATTTTAAAGTCTAAGTTGCAGGTGCCCACCTGGAAAACAAGGGAATTCATTTGAAGTTTCAAATCCGAGGTAGCACGAGTTGCTTGAAGAATAAGGTTTTTATCTCGAGTCACGGGGGTTTGAGATGACCAAAGAAGAAGTCTCAATCCAAGAAAAAGAAAGAAAAGAAAAAAAAGGGAAGTGAATCCAAATGCAGAAGCAGATGAAAGATGTGAGTTGCTCAAGACATGGCTGAAGTCACGAGCATTGCGTGTCCGGTCTTGATCCAAAGAAGCCGTAGAAGAATGAACTAACACTTTCAGCTAACAAGCATCAAGATTCAGATTAGAGTCTGCATGAAAACTAACCAAGACCCAAGATCAAGCTTTAGAAGACTCATAGATAGGAATATTGTAACTCGTAGCTGATAGGCTTAGTTAGTCTTTTTCATTTTTTATTTTGATATAATAGTAGGACTGCGGACCGGAACTTCGACGGAACAACACCTCAATCGGCTCTCCACCTCGGTATACTCCATCACTCTTCCTAATTCTAAACTACATGTGGACTGATTCTTTTATAGCCAAGGATATGTAGGCAGCTCAGATACCAGGGCTCGGTCACATTCTCCTTTCTCTTAGTTTTTGGTCTCTTTAAATAAGGGTCGGGTAAAAAAAAAATTGTCTCGACGTTCTTTACCTGAAAACTCTTCGCATTTCCAATCAAAGAGGGGCAGCTGTAGACATGTAATTTTTGACCCTCCCCAAGGTTTTACACATTTTTAGCGTAAATATTTAGTTTAGGTTTAGTATCGCTATTCTAAATAGTTTTGACTCTTTTACTTTATTTTATCACAAAAATGAAAATTACAAAAAAAATATTATTCTTTTATTTAGCTAATTAATATTTTTATCTAGTTACTTTTAATTTATCTACCTTACATACAATTCAAAAATACAAAAATAGTTCCAAGATTATCTTAATTTTACAATGATTTTTCCATTTTTTATCTTTTAGTATGATATTTAAAAAATACCAAAAATAGGTTTGTTTTAATGGATAGTTTTATTTTAATAGTTATTTTACTTAAGTAGGATTAATTAGTAAATGGTGTAGTATTTTTGGTCTTGTTTTAGAGGAAAGAGCATGAAATTTGAGTCTAATTTTGTTTGGTCTTAATTGAAAAGGCCCAATTTGGAAAGCCCAAAATATTGAGCCCATACCCATTCCCCTATTGATCTAACCTAATTCATATCCCCTATAAAATAATACCTAATTCCAAAATCAAAAAAGGGGAGACTTAGACTAAAACAAAAACTTCAGCCATCTTTGGACCCTTTTTAGCAGAGCTCTTCCAATGGAGAATCCAGCAAAAATTTGAACATATACAAAGCTGCAGAACACCAAAAATGACCCTCCCATCTCCATCTCCCAAGATCCAACATCCACCCTGCCCAAAAACCTATTGTTGTCGGCGCCCCACCACTCCTTCACTCTAGAGCCAACGAAAAATCAACCATACCCACAAATAGAAATGGGAGGAGATTGAAAACAGAGACAACACATGAAAAATAGAAGCTAAAAATGAATGAGTAAGAGAGATTAAAATCACCGCTGCTGGCCACCGTTGTTCGCCGGAACTGTGTGGTTTCAATTGGAAAACTTTTGTTCTACTTAATCTGACTAAAGAAAGGAAAGGAAAAGAAGACCTCGACTCTGCTCTATTTTCCAAAAACGAAGCATAAATTCTGTTTTGTGGTCTGAGTTTTGAAAGAATACGGGCTGGCTCGAGTTTGTCACCATTTGAGAGTCAAGGTTGCCGGATTTTCGGTTGATGGTCTTGTCCGTGGTCTGTCCGGGCATTAGGAATCGTTCTCATTTAGCTAAGGTCCATTTCTTGAACTCTTAAATTTGGATCTTTATGTCAAAATTTATTTTGTATTATTTTGAGTTATGCATGAATAAATTGTGGCAGTATTAACATTGTTATATTTGTCGAACTTCTTCCTAGTTTAAACTTCATTTGATACAAAAGCATTTTTCTTTTTGTGGCAAGATTGAAAAGCATGATAGACAGAAAGGAAATCAACATACAGTCATATATTTTAACTAAGGATCCAATGACTTGACTCTTCTAAACCTTCCTTCTCCATTTTGTTGGCGCAATTACAAGGTCGTTTACTCCCTGATGCAATCTTTAGATCTTAAGTTTTGAATATTCTGCATATCTGTCTACGGAAATGTTTTAAATATTTATGATTTGGTTTCTTCTCTTTTGTGTGTTAGTTGAAATGTAAAGATAATTAGTAGTAACATGTTCGGAAAATATAGTTTGTTAATAGTATAAGATATGGGTTTGATATGTTGAAATTATGTCGTAACAGAGGAACTAGAGCTTGTTTCAAAGGCAGTGTTTGAGTTTAATAATAGTAAGATAAGTTCGGCCATTAGCCTAAATAATTTGTGGTGATCAAATTCCCATTTCTTGTAAAAATAACTCCTTAGTTTATGACCTTACAAACAATCTTAGTTTTAGTAAAACCAATAATTATGAACATTCGTAGTTTGCTTTAGGCGCGATATAATAAATCATCATAGTTATGGATACGGTTCCCGTGACATAGTTGTGATACGTAATCCCCAATCCGGGTGTGACTTTCATGTGACCCGGCTCCAATTTCGAACCTTACTAAAATACACATGTTGTAGATTGTGTGTACGGTTCCCCTGATACGATTCGACATGTACAAAAACAAACAAGTGCACAACATAGTGGCTTGTTCAACAAATTCCATAATTGTTTAAATAAATAAAAGCGGTTAAAAGTTAAAACATGCACAGTAGGTTTTAAAACATGTAATAAGTTAGATAATTAGGCCAATTAATAATAGTTGAGTGACCGTGCTAAAACCACGGAACTCGGGAATGCCTAACACCTTCTCTCGGATTAACAGAATTCCTTATCCAGTCTTCTGTATTCGCGAACCAAAAAATGGAGTCAATCTTCCTCAATTCGGGATTTTAAACTGGTGACTTGGGACACCATAAATTATCCCAAGTGGCGATTCTGATTTGAAATAAATAATCCCGCTTCGATTATTGTCACTTTAATTGGAAAACTCCCTTATATCCCCTCGGGTGGTAAAAAGGAGGTGTGATAGCTACAAACTGTGTCAACAAATGCATTGCACCCCTCAAGTCCTGATCTGATGGAAGCGGAGGGGTAATTAGATGTGCGGTCTCCCTATGAATCTCCTCAGGTGGGGGAGGAGCCGGTAATGACTGAGTAGGGGTCTCTTCCTGGGCATCAGATTGGGCCCCATCTACTGGGGGTACCCTGCTAGTCCCCTCACCTACTACATCTCTCTTTTGGCTATCCGTAGTCTTCCTAGTCACCGTCATCTGTGCATGCAACGACAACAAGTAATTTTAACTCAAATTTTATATAACTCAGTTCTACAGCACGATTTAGATTTGAAAGAAAGGTAACCAACTCCTAAATGCCCTGTAGTCCCCTACTTATATAATATAGTGCACCACACATCTATAAACAAGACCCTACTAAACATGACTTGTAGACTCCCAAGGACAGAACTGCTTTGATACCACTTTTGTCATGCCCCGAACCTAGGGGCGAGACCGGCACTCGGTGCCTCACCTATCCTTGCATACCACTTGCGACTAAGAGACTCTGAACATATAATGTCATACTTTGGCCATGGGCCACATTACAAGATAATTTGCGAAGCAAAATATAAAACTGAATGGAAACTAACGCTGACTAATGTCAATATAAAGCTGGGTCGGCAAGGCCGTCATAACTACTACAACTGACAAGCAACAAAATATACATACTGGGCCTACAAGCCAGACATACTGCACAAACTGACAGGATATGTCTACAAGCCTCTACTGATAGATGTACTGTGATCGGAATAGGGCCCTAACCTACCCATAGCCTATATGCATATATACACAAGATGTACACAAAACTTCTAGACTAGGAAACTCTGAAGGACGTGGAGCTTACCAATAAAGTTGAACTCGGGCAACACCTACTGAAGAGGTCTACCCGTCTGTCTGTCTGGACTGCACGCATGAAGTGCAGCGTCCCCCGGAAAAAGGGATATTAGTACGAAATAATGAACCGAGTATGCAAGGAAATAATATAGCTGAAAGCTGAAACTGAACTGATAATATAATAACTGAAAGTCAAAGATAATCTGAAAATATGCTTACCGGCTGATACTGACTCAACTCACTCAATATAGCAAGTAAAATAGTTGTCCGGCCCTATAAGGCTCGGTATATATATAAAACTGCTTTGTCATAGTAGGCTCGCACATAGCCGCTCGTCCATACTAGGCTTTGTATCTCGGCCATGCTGCACTCGCTCATAGGTGCTCGACCACAGTAGGCTCAGTATATAACTTACCATTTGATCAGAGGTTGCCCAATAGAGGCATGCCCATCGATTATAGATCTATGGTAATGAAAATACTATAATACTATATATATATATATATAGATTCTCTGCTCTCTTAACTGGAAGAAGGAAATACTCAATTGAATATGAAGTCCCGAGAAGGAGAATACAACTTACGAGACTAGGAAAATATACATAAATTCCGAGATATGAATTTTTCTTTATGCCTCGTTATCAGACTCGTGTAATTACAAGATCATGCCAAAATGAAAGAAGGTCGTAGCCTTAACATATCCGGAGTAGGAAAAAATCCGTATGATATTCTTGCGAAGGATTACACCGTACTCCCTTAATATTGCAAAATCTCTGTTTGATTTATTGAAGATCCGTACCCTTCTACGTTAACTGCCGGTTGCCTTCTCCGTTAGCTTCAGATTTCCCACATGTAGAGTTCTTTGTTATCCTCTTAATCGTTCAAAGATGTGTATCTTTGAATTGTTCATATTCAAAGATATGTAACCTTCTAGGATTTAATAATTCCTAATATTGGAAGATAAGTATCTTTTGATTGTTAAAAGATTTGTAGCTTTTACTAATTACATGGCTTATCTTGGAATTGGTTGCCACCTAATCTAATATGATTAAGAGTCATTTATTTTGTTAGTGGCTTGCTGCCACGTGGGGTTAGAGTGGGGTTTTAATCTTATCCCAAACTCACTAGTTAATTAGGTAATATCATGTTACCCGATAATTAATCAATTACCCATATAATTAAGAATTGTCTCAAATTACTTAAACTACTACTTATTTTTAATACCCCTTTTACGTCATACTATCATGGTCATATGGTACTTTGTGTGGTACTAGTCCATAAATATCGAGTATTATCGCTCGGCCCGTAATTTATCCCAAATCGATAACCTTCAACGAAACTCATTTTCTTTGATTAGTTTATCATTTTTCTTCACGGCACTTACTTGTTGCTTGATATAAATAGCATAAATTTTATAATCTCAAAACAATCTCATCCCCGAGTCTATGTCAATTAACTAAAGACGAAACTTCAACGTACAAGAAATGTGATATGTAGCATCGAGATTTGTTGATTCCCCCAGTGATTATAAAGTACTCTATTTCGAAGGTTTCAGACCTTTGAGCATATTTGGAGCTATGGAGCTCGGATTGAAGCGATTTTCAACACATGGATTGGATAAGTTTTCTCTACTTGGTTTTGATTATATTTCATGAATCTATCCTCATTTTTGGTTTTTGGTTGATGATTTCAAAAGAGAAATTGGAGGGGTTTGTCAAAAATATCATAAAGTCAATTTTCGAGTTTTGAGCAGTGATTCGGAGTTAGATTTGAGTGAAACTAGTATGGTTGAACTCGTAATTGAATAGATTGTCGGATTTTGTGAGTTTTGTCGGGTTCCGAGGTACGGGCCCAGGTTTGACCTTTTGGTCGATTTTGGGCTTTTGATTAAAGATTCGACCTTTATCATTTGGAGTTATTTCCTTTAGCATTATTTGATGTTACTGAATTACTTTTGGCTAGTTTTGAGTCATTCGGAGGTTAGTACGCGTGGAATGATATTTTTGGAGCATCGTTTGGTTTGCTTTATTTTAGATTTGGCTTGTTCGAGGTAAGTAGCACTTCTAAACTTGGTGATGAGGGTATGAAACCCCGAAATTTGTGTTATGTGATTGATGTTGAGGTGATGCACATGCTAGGTGACGGGCGTATGGGCGTGCACCGTAGAAATGGTGATTTAGTCTATTTATGGGGCTGTGTAGCTATCTTATCTGAATATTTTCACTGTACTCTATGTGTTAGAGAACCTGAGCTGTAATTTATGCTAGAAATCATGATTAGGCTATATGATGGTACTAGTGGGACCCACAGTAGTCGTTCTTTTCTATTGAGTTATTTGTTTGATTGCAGTTATGTACTCAGTCGCATTCACATTACATATCATATCTCAGTCTCTGTTATCGTATGTTGTCACATCCCGTATTATTGATTAGTGCTGCTTAGCATGAGTGTTGTGAGCCCAAGAGACTAGAGAGATTGATGACTGAGTGAGGCCGAGGGCCTGTGGTGAGTAATATTTATAGGATCGGGTTGCACGCTGCAGCAAGCTTTATTGATTCATACCAGGATTTGGCTTATTATAGCGCTTGGGCTGGAGCGGCCCCTCCGGTGCCTGCACATCCACAGTGGGCGCAATGCTAGCAGTTATTTACATTGGGCTGAATCTGCCTTGGATTTATTTATGTTTGGGGGGGAGGGGGGAGGGATCTGCCCTGTACAGTACTGAGTGACTGAGTGTGTTGATTATTGAGAATGATGAGTGAGAATACGAGACAGTGAGATTGAGTACTCTGAAAGTGTGAGTACATGAGTTCATTACTAAGATGCATTGCATTTTGACATGTATATTTGAGATACATGCATAGAGATGCATTTCTTCATGCTACCTTTTGTTGACATTTATGATTTCACTTGTTTATCAATATATAGGTATAGAGATATACTTTCCTCATGCTATCTGAAAATGAAACATCTTAATTATTGTTACAATTTTCAAACTTACTCATATTTTTGGTTATTTGGTGAAAGGAATTGAGCTTTACGGACATCTTTGAAAAACATGCCTATTTTCCCGTAACTGTGAACTAGCTGAGCATCATACCTCTGAGTTATTTTTCTTGCACTATTTTTATTATCTTGTTATAAACTATTGTTTTTTATTGGAGTTGGACTCTGACTCTTGTCCCAGCTCGTCACTACTTTCAACCTGAGTTTAGGTTTGTTACTTATTGAGTACATGGGGTCGGTTGTATTCATACTATACTTTTGTACCTTGCGTGCAGGTGTTGGACGTTGATGTTGTTGCGTACGGCAGGAGCTGGATCTGAAGATGTATCTGCATTCCAGTTATTAATATCACTTGTCCTTGGTAGCATTAGATTCGAGTTCTGTTCATTTACATTTCAAACAGATGTTGTAATTATTTTAATTCAGTCTTGTAAAAATCCAAAATCTGATTAGCACTACCAGTCATTAGGAATTCTTTTGTATAATAGTTCAGTTGTATTACTATTCTTCTTTTAATAAATTTATTTGAACTGATTTATTATTAACTGACTTACCTAGCAAGTTGAGTTAGGTGTCATCACAGCTAGTTGGTATAATGCCTAGTTATGTTTTTGCGAGTTGAAGGATGAAGAAACTTTGGGTTGATAACAGGTAGTATCTTTTTGATTAACCTGTTGATTGAATTATAATGAAGTCCAATGCAAAAGAATCCAAACTTTTCCATGGAATTTTCAAAGCACATATATTATCGTACTTTGTTGGTTGAAGATGAAAGAAATTAGTTTTTATTCCTTTAAAAAAAGCACAGCTTTGTCATCTTTACTACTTAAATTTTCACTTAAAAGGAAATAACTTTAAGAATATTATATAATTTATACATGAATTACTTTCAATAAACTTTTGACAACACATCTAGAATATTTTAAGTCCATTGAGCATTAAAAACTTCTAATTTTATGGTTCTTTTTGCAAATGTAAGTATCCTACTGTGATAAAATCTTTGAAAAATAATAATAAGACAAATGTGAATTAAGACAAAGCAATAACTAGAACTTGCCTCCATTGTTGGTCAAGGCGAAATTCTAAAACAATGCTAATTTTGAAAAATGAATTAGGCTATCTTTGAACCGATTGACCCTTTCTTTATAACCACCAACTAAAATATATCCTCAGTATCCAAATTTGTTTGAGCTTTATTACTATTACTTTCTTCTTTCAAACCTCATCACCAGGAGCCCCACACAAAAAAAAAATTGAGATTTTTTTTAAAAACCCATTTGTACTTTTTCCTAGCTATGGTAATGAGTATTGAACAATGAAAACTTGTACATAAGAAAAACAAAAGTATAAAAAGAAAGGAAAAAAATTGAAAAAACGGAATATCTATAGATAATATTGCAAAGAGGGTTTATATTAAGTATAACCCTCGTGAGTTTAAATTCATATGCAAAAATCATCAAGCTTATAAAATCAAGCTAGCAAAGAGATAAGTCACTATAAATATTCTTGTATCCTACCAAGCCCTCAATCCAACATTACAAGTCAATAAAAGTCCTAAGAGATTCTAAAGTTAGTATTGATCTACATTCGTGGAGATTGACAAGAAAGGCAAACCTATGATTTATTGTAAATAATTGATTTCACGAAGTCTTGATTCTTTTTAAATACAAAGATAACTAACAGTGATACTTACAGAGTAAAAATGGAAATATAGACAAAGCAAGTTATACAAAGTTCAAAGGAACTAAAATCTCTAAGTGAAGTCATTAGTTTTTGCTAAGTTATGAGTGTATAGATTTATATTCCTAAAAAATATATTTCTTCTTTATTGTATAGTCTTTCCTCGAGGACGAGCAAATGTTTAAGTGAGGGAGAATTGATAAGTGTATTTTACTTAATTTTTAATATATAATTTTCTCTGTAAAAATAAAGAAATTATCATATTCTTCCCTAATTTTTAGTAAATTATGTAGGAAAGACTACAAAGCAAGTGATGCAGAATCAAGGAAGATTTTTAGAAATAGCACACCAAAGGAGAAGAGTAAGCTGTGATGGAGTGAATAAACAAGGCACCTAGAAGACAATGTACGGATCGGGACTTTCATAACAGACCCATAACTGATCCATAACCAAGATTCATAATCAACCCACAACGGAACTCATAACCAAAGCATAACTAGTTATGGAGTGGTTATAAAATGGACGTCTCAGAAATTCGGAAAGGGCGTCGAGTAAAGGAGAGCTCAGCGGACAATTTGTAACGACCCGACCGGTCGTTTCATGAGTTACCGCTCCGTTTTCCCCATTTCTACTTCTTATTGTCTTGTTCAGCTGTATTATATGTTATCGGTTTGATTGGTTAGGGTTCGGAAAGGTTTGGTAAGGTTTGAGATACTTAGTCTCTTTTGAGTAAGCTTAAGTTGGAAAAGTCAACTGGATGTTGACTTATGTGAATAAGGGCTCGGATGTGAATTACGATGGTTCGGATAGCTTCGAGATATGATTTGGGATTGAGGAGCGTGATTGGAATGGGATTTGGAGGTCCGGAGTAAATTTAGGCTTGAATTGGCGAAATTGAAATTTTGGTGTTTTCCGGTTGATAGGTGAGATTTTGATATAGGGGTCGGAATGGAATTCTGAGAGTTGCAGTAGGTCTGTTGTGTCATTTGGGATGTGTGTGTAAAATTTTAGGTCATTCGAACGTGGTTTGATAGACTTTTTGATCAAAAGCAGAATTCGGAAGATTTTTAGAATCTTAGGCTTGAATCCAATGCAATTTGGTTGATTCGATATTATTTGAGGTGTTTTGAAGATTGGTATAAATTTGGATAGTGATATGTGACTTGTTTGTGCTTTTGGTTGAGGTCCCGGGTGCCTCGGGTGATTTCGGGTGGTTGACGGAAGGTTAGGAATTGAGAGTTTGCAGCTGAAGTTTTATGGTTGATGTCACAACCGCATCTGCAGTTATGAGGCCGCAGGAGCGATTCCCGCAGATGCGGAAGCAAGCCGCAAAAGCGGCCAATAGGTGAGTCAGGTGGAGCCGCAGAAGTTGATGTTTGGACGCATCTGCGATGGCGCATGTGCGAGATATTGATCGCAGGTGCGGTCCCAGACCTTTAAGTGAAAACCGAAGGTGCGGTGGGCTAGACCGCAGAAGCGGGAAATGACCGCAAGTACGGAATCCCTAGGTCAGAAGGTGTAAATTACACCCTTCGCAATTTTTGGCCATTTTTCTCAATATTTCATTCGGGGTGAAGCTTTTGGGAGCCATTTCAAGGGAGATTTTCAGAGGGATTCATTGAAGTAAGGCCATTGGTTCCTAAGCTCGTTATTATGGTGATTTTTATCGTTGTTAGCATAAAATTTAAGGGAAAATCAATGGTAAATTGAGGGTTAGGGCTTGGTTAATTGGAGAGCTTTGAGTGGTGATTTGAGGGACTATTTGAGGTCCAATTTTGGTACTTTTGGTGTGAATGAACTCGTGGCGAGATAAGGATTTTATTGATGTAAAATTTGTCGAATTCCGAGATGTGGGCCCGAGGGTTGGGTTTGGTCAATTTCGGATTTTGTGTTGTAATTTGGTATGGGTTTCACTCCTTTAGCGTATATTGATGGTTATGAACTGCTTTTGGTTAGATTCGTTGCATTCGGAGGCCGATTGAAGAGGAAAAGGCATCGTGGGCTAGAGTTTTGGCTTGACTTGATGTAAGTAACGCTTCCAACCTTGGTTTTGCGGGTTTGAAACCCCGAACGATGTGTTCTATGACTATTATGAAGGTGACACTATGCCAAGTGACGGGCGTGTGGGCGTGCATAGTGAGAAATGCGGCTTGGATCATTCCATGGCACTGCTTAGCTACTCTTTTATGTTGATATCTGTGTTGTAATCATGTGATCAAGTTGATAAGATGCAAATCATGTTAATTATCATGTTAAGGCTTTACGCCAACACTGTTGAGACCCGATAGGTCGTTTTTTGCTATCATATCATTAGAGTCATGTATATTCTATACTCAGCCATGTTCATGCATATTATATCATGCCTCAGTCTTGATTATTGCTATTTGACATATCATTTCATTGTTCAGGCTTGTATTATGACATTTTAGCCCGTGTGTGAGACTGGAGAGTATTGACTGAGTGAGGCTGAGAGCCGAATATTGATTGACAGTATGGGATCGGGCTGCAAGCCGCAGCAACGATATTGATCATACCTTCACTGGCATTGATATAGTGCTTAGGCTAAGAGAAGCCCCTCAGGAGTCTTTACACCCCAGTGAGCGTAGTAGATGATTATATTGAGGGATAGATCTTCCCTGGACATGGATCTTGTCCGAAGTACTATACCGGGAGATGGATCTTCTCCGAGACGCTGGATCGGCTTGTGTCCTTGGTACTGAATGATGCAGTCAGTGATATATATTCTGGGATGGACCTTCCCTGGGCCAGATGGCCATATACAGTACCGAGTGGTTGAGCACTTGTGAGTGGAGGTTGTGGAACATTGATCATACTAGTGTGCATTGGTACATATATGAAATCTATGAGTTTTGAACTCTTTTTACTGATCAGTTGCATCTATTACTGTTGAGTTTTACATGAACTGTAAGCATGTCTATATTTCTGTTCTGTTAATTGCTATTTGCCTATTGAGGTTTGGTCTGTCACTACCTATCAGTCCACAGGTTGGACTTGTTACTTACTAAGTTGGTGTACTCACGTTACCCCCTGCACCTTGTGTGCACATCCAGGTGTATCTGGTCACGGTAGCGGGTTGCTGATCTTTTTTGTGCGGATGTAACGGCCCGACCGGTTGTTTTGAGCTTTTGTACTTCTCTTGCCAGTTCTCAGGAATGACTTGCCCCATGTGATGTATCATAACTTATTTAAATTGTTGTCTTTGGTTTTCAGGGTAATCGGAATGAATTTGGAAGAACAGTTCTCAATTTGAAGCTTAAAATTTGAAAGGTTTGACCAAGTTTTGACTTGTTAGTAGATGACCTCGGATTGAAATTTTTATGATTTGGTTAGCTCCATTAGGTGATTTGGGACTTAGGAGAGTGATCGGAATGCATTTTAGAAGTCTGTGGAAGGTTTAGGCTTGAATTGGCGAAATTGAGATTTTTGCGTTTTCCGGTTGATAGGTGAGATTTTGAAATAAGGGTCAGAATGGAATTCCGGAAGTGGAAGTAGCTCCGTTGTATCATTTGGGATGTGTGTGCAAAATTTCAGGTCATTCGGACGAGGTTTGGTTGGGTTTTTTATCAAAAGCGTAATTTAGAAGATTTGGAATTCCTAGGCTTGAACCCGATGCAAATTTGGTGTTTCGATGTTGGTTTGAGTGTTCTGAAGGTTGGGACAAGTTTGAATGATGTTATGGGATATGTTGGCATGTTTGGTTAAGGTCCCGAGGGCCTCGGGTGAGTTTCGGGTGGTCAATCAGACCATTTTATGTTGTTTGGAATTGCAGAAAAACAGCTGAAGTGTTGCAGAGAGTTAGACATTC